AATGTCAGTTTAATAGAAGAAAGTATTCTTGCATTGAGGGACTACTTGAGTGGAGGCCCAATGTCCATCTGCTACCTTAATACTAAGCCTATAAATATATGCACGTAGATTTATTTCCCCATCATCATATATAAATATATTTACATATGTACAGGAGCAGGCCTAAGTCTTGACCTTGAGAGTGTCTCATGACAGAAGTTCTTGCTGGGCGTGAACTGACGCTCTGATATCCCACGAGCTATCTGCCTATTCCTGCACATAGCTCGGGAATCTGAAATTCAATGAAGTAAATTCTGTGCAGCTTTGCAACAACTCTCCTCAGCGAATGAGATGCTGGGACAGGAAGCAATGAGCACTGGTTCCTAACTGATCTGATTCTGAGCTCGGTGCACTGTCTGTCTGCTGCAAATACAGATGCCTCTCTCGGTACCCTGGCCCTTCTCCCACCATCCTGTTTGCCTTGAGCTGCCTTCCTTGTTTCTACCGGAGCCTTGATGGTTTTGTTTGTTCGCAGAGCTGTCGTTGTCTTTGTTGCTGAGTTGCTTCCCTCGGTGAGAGGCCGGATGGCGTCCTCTACTGCCCGTCCTGGTCCTGGCACAGGCGCTTCCTGCTCTTCCAGCATCTTCTTGCTCGGCTTCCTCTCTGTGTGCCTCTAAGGTTCCACAGCAAAGGCAGGGCGATTGTAATAGTATTTTGGATCATGGGCTAACTTCCTGATTGAGGTGCAATCTGAAAATGCTGCGACTTCCGAAATCACCTGTGACCTGCCCGAGAGTTGGAACACCATGGTCTCATTCTATGCTCTGGTGTGGCGGGTTTTGATCCCACCCCGAAAGTGACCCTGAGTGGATGTAGACACTACCTTGAGGGGTGTCTCATTATAAGGCACAGGGAACGTGCCCACCTAGATTTCCACATAGCACCCACCTCCTAACGCCTTGCAGAAGCCCTCGCTCAATACTTGCTTTGCAAACCATTTCATTTCCCTCTGATCCGCGAAGGAAAATACGCCTGTTAGAAGAAACGTGAGAGAAACGTACGTGAAAAAAAAGGATTCATGACTTATTTCACTGCTTTTAGCATTTCGAGGTATAATGTTAAGTTTGAAGAGTCTGAAAAATACAGAATAATGAAATCACCACCAAATCCATACCCCCCTCCCCCC